ATTATTTTCAGACAGAAATCAACGTCCCCGGGCTGGGAAGCGCCTCCGAGGGCTGCCGACCCTCCCCGCCCTCCCCATAACGCAGCTCCCTCTCTGGTACCCAAGGCCACGGTTGCAATTTGGGTTCGTTAAAATTTTTTTGCCAGAATCTAAATTTGGAGCGGATTCTTCCCCTGCTCTGAACAGCTACCGGAGCCTGGCTGGGGGAGAGAGGGAGGCATCAGATGACATGACAAAATAAGTCATGTCTCTCGATCGTTTCAATGCCACCCCCTCTCTCCCGGCCTCTGCCTTCCATTTTAATCACTGACAGGCCTTCAAGTATTATGGATAGATATAATCTTTTTAATATCACTGACATTTTCCATAATGGAAAGCATCTCCTGCGTGCTGAGACATTCTGGAGGGGGATCATGCCTTCCTGCTGATGCTCCCGCCGTGCAAAGCGCAGAGCTGAGACTCCTCTTGCCCCAGGCCCTGGCACTGAAGGTCTGCAGGTCCTGCCTTGGGTCGCGAGGAGAAGGCAACGGGGAGGCCATATGCCTCCAGGAGCTTTGCAGATCTCATCAGCCTGACTTTCCCAACAGGCTCTGGCCGTGCAAGCTGAATGTGCATCTAGTCCCACTCCCAGCTGCAGCCTGTGAGAAGAACACCTCCAGCATCCAAACCATCCTCCAGGTCGACCTGGAGAACATCCCAGTTTGGGCGGTGGGAGGCATTCTTCACGGTTGCCTGAGACCCAGGCCTCCTTCTTCCTCTGTTCCCAGTGCTCCCGGTTCACCTGCGTCAGACGGCTGAGGCAGCCAGCTTGCCCCTCTTCAGGCACTGATTTTTTTATAAGCAAAGTGAACCTCTCCATAGGGACAACACCCTACGAGCTGCAGCGGAGCTGTACAAACATGGGGTTTGCTTTGCTAGGTGGCCCACAACCCCGCCGTAGGAAGGGGGACCCAGCAAGGCTCTAAAGCTGATTTCCCTCAGCCCTGGCACAAGCCAGCTGCTCACCCAGACCCCCTCTGCCACTGAGAAGCCTCTGGAAATCTGCTGTCACCTTCTGTTTGCAGCATTTTCCTGGAATCCCCCTTCCTGGCCTCTCTAATAGTTACGGTGTCTTCAGGCCCCGGCTCACGTGATGGGTTTGGTATATAACTCCCAAGGCCAGGAAGGTCGCTCACCTCGGTTATTTAGCAAACACAACACAAATTATTAACACTAATACAAATAACGCCCACATTTGGGAGAGGAGAAGGAATACGCTCCTTGTCTGGCTGCTAGGACTTGGCATTATAGGGACTGGAGCATCCACGTGTCCTTCAGAGCGCAGGGCTGACCAGTCCTGAGGGTCTCTGCTCTAACGACAGAACCCACATCTCACACCAGGCCTGTGAACGAGGGGTACATGTTTCTAAAGGTGTTCCGTGGAAGCCAGCTCTAATTCCACTGCAGTTCCAGTCATGTAACTTCCACAAATCAATGCAAAGGGGGGGGCGGGGAAGAAAGGCAGCTGGCTGGAGAAAGCTGCAGCAGCCAGACGGCAGAGTATCGCTCTTGTTGGCCCAGCACATCCCTTCCTGTGCGCTGCGTGTACCTCATCCCTTGAGGACACTCTTGTCCAAGGCTGCAAGAGGCACTGGCGATATTTATTTCAAAAAATTAAGACTATTCACAGCATTCAGGTTTGTTCTCCTTTGCAGAAGTTCTTACGCCACCCACCCTGTGCCACCAGGCTCCTCCCGCGGAAGGGGAGACCAGCCTAGGACATGCTTCCACAGTACATGACTGATGCGAAACTCCCATCTACCTGTCTTCATATTAACCAGTTTTCCTGTGAGTAGAGCTACACATGGAGCCTGGTCTCTATAGGCTGGACTGGAGGCACGGATCCTGTGAATGGGCTTTGCCATCTCGTAAGGTGAGGCTACCAGATAAAAGTATTCCTGCCTTTGAGACAATCACGTTGCCTCTATAATGTGCAGACTCCCTCTTGTCTAGAAACAGATGGCTCGAGCTGTTTGAGTTGGGCAGATTCACAAGCTGATAATCATCTCCAGGGAGGCAGGAGCTATTGTCAGAGCCTGTGAGACACACCCCAACTTCAGGCCTTTTTCCTCCTAATTCTCAAAATGTTGCTGAAATTCTCGCTACAGTAATGCTGAGCAGAGACATTCCCTTTGTGGGTTCGTGCCCGCTAAGCCAGAAGAGACTTCTGGCTTCCACAGAAGCCGAAGTGCTTCCCCTGACCATGCTAAGAGAAAGGATCTCGAAACACGAAGGGCCTCACCTGGCCAGCAAAAAAAAAAAAAAAATGAAGCCGAAGTGCTTCCCCTTAAGAGAATAAGAGAAAGGATCTCGAAACACGAAGGGCCTCACCTGGCAAAAAAAAAATAAGCTGCATTTTGCCATGGTAATGCTGGGAGCCAATGGGAAGAATATATTCCTCTCCCCAGAGACAGCACGAGTTAAAATGAGAAAGCAAGAGAAAACAGTTCTGCAGAAGGAACAGTTACGCTACGCGTCAGCGTGGCTGCCAATGTAAAAGAGCTCGTGCCTGAGGCACACACGCCTGGTGCAACTGCGCAGCGATGCACAGAATTTGTAACAGCAGTGCTCAGCACGGATATGCATCTGCCGCCTAAGAACCCCAAAGGTATCACGAACCTAAATTAATAATCTACACTGATGTCATTTCTCCACAGGGCCAAAGCCTCTCCGGGGAATGCCGTCCAGCTGCTTTAGCAGGAAGATGGCACTTTACTGACATACGCCAGGTCTCTCTTGATGCCAGGTCAAGAGGGACCCTGCCTTGGAAGCCTGCTCCGACCCAAGCCCAGCTGCAGAGCATGCGACGCTCAGACTTGGGATGCTTCCACGAAAAACCCCATTCCAGCCATGATGCACAAGGAAACCCAGACAGACGGCGGTGATAAGCCCAGGCGCACACGCAGGCTGACAGAGGCAGGATGGATGGCTCCAACACAAGGCCTAACCGTGCTCACAGTATTTACGGCATGAATTTCACTCATTTTAATTCAAGAGTGATTAGTCTTGGAAAGAAGCAAGTAAGAGCTGGCTCAGAATGGGGCATGGGCACGGGCACATTGAGCTGGATGGAAAGAGGTGGCAAGATCAGCACAAGAAAAACTCATGGGTGCAGAACCAGGCAGGGTGGCACACCCCTTGGGACAGTGCGTTTTCATCAGGATCCTGAATGCCTCAGAGAAGCCTGCTGTCAGCGAGTCCCGAGAGGAGACTGGACAAGCAGTCAAGAATATGATCAAAAATGGGATGGATTTTTCTAAGTTACTGTCCTGGTGCTTGGGCTCATGAGTACAAGGGACACTCTCTGCTCACTCGCCTGCTAGCCAAGCAAGATCGAGAAACAAAGAATAAGACATATCTCATGTTGACTGGCACTTTTAAATTCTTCTTCCTTAGCAGAAATGCCAGTATTTTCTAGTCTTAACAGTTTCTGAGGCTGTGATATTTCTTGCCTTGTCTCCTTGGCAAGCGATCATCTGTAGAAGTAACAGATGATCTAGCAACAGTCCCACATCAGAGCATGTCAGAAAAGAGGCACCCCAGTATTTGTAATCACTGCATCACTTCAGAAAGAAGAATCTCCACTTGATCTGTGTAAATATGGTTATTTATTTTTTAAAAGTAAGTTTATTTCTAGTTACAAAGGGCTTCGCTCTCCCACTTTAGAGCATCTTTTTTCTTTAGTTCCTCAAATAAAGAAACCATTTTGCTCACCATTGAATCCAGCAGCCCATAAACCTGCAGCAGAAATTAACAGAAGATAGTTGCAGTGAAAACACGTGAAGAAGTCCTGATGACGAGACCGACAGACAGAGAGATGGTTTCTCACGCAGGAGCACGTTAACGTACGGGCATGCACACAACCACATAAAAGTGGCTGCCTGCTAACAGAGCTTAGCTCTAGTAATAACTTTTCTGGCTATGAAGTGTGTTTAACGTTATCCGAGATACAATTAATTCTGCTGATCCCTCAAGAGTCTGCAAGCATGCTAAAGACATCCCAGATAGAAATCCCGCATGTGGCTATGTGATGGCTGGATTTACGTTAACAGATTCCAGGCTGGAATAAAGGACATCTTACTTTGTATTTCACACTTGCCTTGCTACAGAATCACAGACATACGTTTGTCAGTTTTCTGAGTTTAACAAAATGCGTTTGCCTCTCCACCTAAGCTTCAACGTAAGCTTAGAAGCAAAGAACAAAAACTAGAAACAAAGATATAAGCTTTGGTCAGACTCACTTCAATATAAAGTTTCTCCTGGTATGTCCCAAACAAAATAGGGTCCACCTGCTCCTGGGGAGGTTCCACTCTATCTGTAGGTACAGCTTCCACGAGCTGTGCTCCCTCTTTCAACTCCTGCGATGAAGTGGAAGATTTCAGCTTTTTCTCATCTTTTAACTTTCTGCTGCTTGGACGTTCCTATTCAGGGACAGACAGAAAAAAAAAGTGACATAGGCCAGAACACCTTTCAGATTGTGGCGAGATGCACCTCCCAGAAGCAGCACCTCTTTCACTGGGTTGGAAATCAGTTCAAACTCAGGATACACAACCTCAGAACGGGTCACACTGTCCCCAGCACTTAGATTTCAACAGGCATCCCAACACATACCTCTTTCTCTGCTGTCTTTGTGGTTCTTTTTTTGCCTTCTTTATCCTTACCACCAAATGACCTTCTCTCTTCTTTCCTAATGGTTATTCTGTCTCCCTTTCCTCCTTTTATAAGTTGCTTTACTTCCACTACAAAAGAAAGAATTTCTATTACCCAAAAGCAACATTTTCACATCCAGAAAGACAAGCCCGCTGCACTCATGCAGTGGAAGTATATTACTTTTGCAGTGTATTTTCCTCTTTTTATTAATCTGAGCTGTACTGCACTGAAAAACAATACCTTGAAGAGTACTTCGTTTAAATAAGGAATGAACAGGTCTCAGACATGTATCAGAACGAGCCTGTAAAACAGCTAATAGTGAGATAGGGTTTTCCGGGTTAGTCTGTGTGAAAACCATGGCTACATCTAGCTAAATTAAAAGGCTTATTTGTGCGGTGTTTTTTTCATGACACCAAACCACAGATCACAATTAGTATCACACAATCTGCCTTTTTTTCTGACGCGTTTTGTTATAAAAGGTTTGAGGGGAAACTGCTGACGTTGCCATTTCAGTTGAAATTCAGCACGTTTTCTGGATTTCCAACAGTCCACAGAAACCGGTTGCTGTGCTAAAACTACCATTTACCCGTTTCCTCTGGAACAACATCTACATAGGCATCCTTCTCAGGCAAGCCAAGCAGGGATCTCAGCTTCAGAGAGTGACTCACCAGACCATCAATTGTTTCACGCCACAGCTGGAGACTGAGAAAAGCATCAGAATCAGAAGGGCGACAAGTACAGCAATTGCCATCTTGTTTTACCCTGTGCCCAGGAGTGAAGGCACCCTACAGCTGAGAGCTGTTCTGCCCAACTAAACCAATAAACTAGCACCCACCATCTGAAAAGCTGTGCAGAGGGATGCTCAATTTCTTTCCTCACGTCCGAGCCTTCTGAGGTCTCAATGGTTTGCAAACCAATGGGCTCATATGGACCCATAAATAATACTGTGAAACTAGATCTCCTGCTCTTCAACATGACACATGTCGGTAAATCAGCATCGACCTGCTCTCTGTTTAAGAGGAACCTGCACCCTTCTAATTTAGAAGCAACTGAAAGCTGTTGATATGTTTACAGTCTGAAAGCCTGAGTAAAGAACAGAGAACTGTATCTTCCCTCATACAGTCTATCTGAGTAAAAGGGTACAGAAAATTACCCAAAGGTTTCATAAACATAGACTAGAATAATCTTGCCAGAAATAATCTTGTATACTCCCCAAAATTACATGAATTTACTATTCTAAACTTATCTCCAGGGAAAAAAAAAAAAAAAAAGAAAAAAAAGGCATTTGGGTCCTAGACTGCTGCTACAATTAATCTATAAAAAACCAGAGTGTAAAGAAGACTTCTAGACCTCATATAATTATCTGCACTCTGAATCACAACGCTTGCAACAGAGCTGGCTAAGGCTGTTGATCACACGATGCATTTACAAGGTTTATCTTGCAAAGGTAACGCACCAGGTTTGATACAAAAGGTCTGACTGAGTTGGCCTCTGTTCAACACACAGCTCCAGCGCTGCCTTATTGAGCTGGGTCAGTGCTTCTTCTCGCTGCTCCTCCTTGGGGATTGACTTTATAGCCTGATGTGAAAGAAAACACAGGGTCCGTGGAGCGAGCGCTTCCTCTCAGTCTTCATTCCCAGTCCGTGGACCCTGAGCTCAACAGAGCACGCCACGGCTCTCTTCCTGGACGCCAGTCTGAAACCAGGCTGCACTGAGCACTTACACACCCAGGTGTGGCCTCCTACAGGGCTGGGATTTGGCCAAGGTGCACAGGCAACCCAAGATCTGGGGAGCAGTGCCAGACCCCTCAGCGAGATTCACAGTAAGCCCCTTTGCAAGGTCACAGGTGTGCTGGAGAACAGGGATTCTAGCGAGCTAGAAGGCCCCGAAGTAAAGATTAGTTATAAAAGCAGCAGAGAGGTTTCCAAGAGAGCACTACAGAAAAACTGCGCTGACAGAATCCAAACCACTCTTGCTTTAATCTAGGGAGGTCTATACTTTGTCCACAGCCTGTCATGAGTGCCCCCTTAGTGCTCTGATGAATAGGAAGGACTCTCCAAGGAGAGGAGCCCTTGGGGAAGCCACAGGAGGCTGTAGGATTAGCCTGCCCCCCACATTCAGTCCTGGGATGACAGAAAGCTAATGGGGGAAGAGCTTAAAATATCTATTACATTGTGCGGTTCTCTTTTCTTCTTCACACAGCAGCCCTCAAAGTCTCTCTTGGGAATCTCTTTACAAGAGCACTGAGGGTGTGGTCAGCAGAGCTGTAGTGATTTTCTGTGACGCACATCATAAATCGTCTCTAACTCACAGCACATTGGAAGCAGACCTTTGGGTGGGCTCACACTGGGGTACACCAGGCTATTTGTAGGGAAATGACAACACCATCAGCTTGTCATAGCAGTAGAGGGAACAGGGGTGAACACCTGCTTAAAGTCCTCAAAGGAGAAGTTCCATCCTGAGGGGCATAGTTCTTCCCCCTCCACATTCGTCATTTGACTCGGAGCCTCCTCAAGTGTGTTCTTCCAACCTGGGACCCCTGTGGTGCTGCTCTGAGCAGGGAGAGCCTCTGAGGTACTCTCCTGGTACTGCACGTCCTCCGCAGTCCTCTTCTGGCCCGAGGGCACTTTCTCCTCAAAGGCTGAAGGAACAGTCATGTGCTGCCTCCATAGTTCATGCAGCTGCTTTACCACTCGATGCTGATAATGCAACTGTGATAACAGGGAAAAGGTAAACGGTGAAATGAGCTATGCCTTTCCTCTACAAACCTAGTTGTTAAAGCTACCATGGCAGACTATGCCAGCCTCCAGAAACCCAGGGATGCACCAGCCCCACGGGTCTTCCCTCCCTGCTATTTCAGTTATGTAGCCCATCAAACAGCAAACATCACCTCCGGATTCTTCTGGTGGAACAACTCTTCCTCTGTGGCATAGGCACCCACAGGAGATGCGGTGCGCTCTGGGGTCCGAATTCGGACAAGAAGTTCCTTCAGACTCTCTTCTACTATAGTAGCACCTTCTTGAGCAGCCAGGTCACTCTGAGGCACCACAAGAAGAACAACACGTGTGAGTCCCCGTTCCATATACAGACACACAAACAAATTCACACCCACGCTAGTAGCCACATGTATACGTTGTATAGGGTTTCAAGGACAAGAATAACTGCAAGCCCCACGAAGCAAAGCAATACTTGCAAGAGCTTTTCAAACAAACCCCACAAATCCCCCCCATACTATACTTTTCAAAGCGTAGTGTAATTTTCAATTTGTACCTTAACTGATATCATAGCGTACGACACATAATCCCATCCCCACTAAGTAACTAATGAAATCCATTACCAACAGAAAATTCATTCTTTAAAGGACCAGTGTGAACAGTTTAGGAGACACAATCACGTCTTTATTAACAACATTACAATAGACTGCAGAGTTCTTCCATTTTATTTAGCAAACCTGCTCAAGTATGTACAGATGTTCTGCAAATAAATAATCATCTTGCTCTCAGCCCTAATTGCATAGCAATAAAAATACCATGTCATCCACTCCCACCCTTATCCTCTTTTTGCGTATTAAGTTCAAAGCTCACAGTTACCCAGTTACATGCTTGGTTACCTCCAGCTTCTCTCTGAGGTCAGCCAATTTATCCTCATACACAGCAATTCCCCAAAGGGTCACCTGCAGCAGAGCTCCTCCTAATAACAGAGGATGTGTCCTAAATTCCCAGGACTCGCTGAAAATGCCTGCTCTCTCTGACTTGAAAAGAAAGGAAAACTTCCTAGTTTCCCCGGGCAAAATTACCCCTGAAATAAGAGAGAAAATGCATCGGTCTGCAAGAAAGCACCTGGTTAACTTGACCCTTTTCCAGCCCCACCCCGAGTGTCTTTATCTCTGTAAGAGACTCTTTTCCCATAGCTTAGCTGGTTATCACACTTCATCCAGCTATTTTTCTCCTTCCAGATTTACTCTCAGTCACCATGTTACTGAACTGGTGTTATTTCCACCGCACGCTCCTTTTACAGCAAGCTCAGTACTCTCTCTGGCAGATCATGCCCAGTTTGCCATCAGAAAATGATTCACTTCTCAATATTCCACCCATTTACATTCAGTGTAGGAGCAACCTCCTTTCCTTCAAGTCCCACGAAAGGGATCTGCCTCGCACACCTCTTTTGGTGTGAGTCAGCTCTGACACCCAGGGTGGCTTCCTGAGGAGAATCACCCAACAGGCTTGCTCTGCCACTAGTCAGACTCAGCATCGCAGACAACTCCTGAATACTTGATCTCTGGTCTATGTACAAAGGTCTCGGAGATCAGCGGCTCTCATACCTGGTCTGGTATCAAAGTAAAAACACTGCATCCTCTGCCCCTTGGTTTCTCTGGAGGGAATCTGCTGGGGAAGCCTCACCCAGTTATACCAGACGGCAGTTGTGCCATCACTGCTCACCGTCAGGGAGCTTTCAGCTTTCTCACCAGCCAAAGTCTCAAAGGTGAGCCGGGCAGCAATGCCAATTTCATCCTACAAGGAAGAGGAAAAAAAGACAGCTAACTATTTGTACTCTATCTGGCAGGATTTATCTTGCCTGAAGTCATACCGCAAATAAGGGGTTGAGCGTTGGTAGGAGAATTTGTAAGGCAGGTCCAATGAAGCGGCCATTATACAGAGAGAGCCTGGGAATCTGAGCTTCGCGCCACAGAGAGAGCAACCCCTTCTGTTCCTAGATCTCTCCAGAGGAAATGTAGGGATACTCTATTACGCTCGGAATAAATCCCCCATTCTCTGGCCTGGGAGCGACACTCATCGTACAGCTGCGACTTGGGAACTCAAGCAGGCTTAGCTTGACTAAACAATAAAAAGCGCACAATTACCCTGCAAGGAGTGGTGCAGTTGATCCAACGAGCAGGCTGGCCACAGAAATATAAAGATGGACCCACTACCGCTTCTGGAACCACATCAGGGTAGTCCCTTAAGGAGTCACTGCTAAAGAAAAAAAGAGCCAGCGTTTTCATGGAGTCAAATTCACTTTCAGAGAGGGGAGAACCATGGGTGATTTGTAAGACCTTATAAGAAATAATCCCAATTAATGCTCTTCCACATCATCTCTTTAGGGACAGAGCCCTGCAGATGCGGTAAACTCCAGCTAGCGACTCGTCACCATCAAGGAGAGGACACCCAGAACATTAAAGAATGATACCTGCCTAAGGAAGGCTGAGGGTACATGAGTGAATAAGGAGAACAGGCCCTCGGGTTGTGCCTGTTACAGATGGACAGGACGGGGAAAAAAGGCAAATTGGTGATGGAAGTGGAAGGCTGGAAAAAGACAGCCAGATGGAGGTAATTTAGAGCAGAATCCCCACCCTGCCGAATGTAAGCTCTGGACCCACGCAGAGGGAAGACTGGAGGAAGGGCCTCAAAAAAAACCTTCTCTTTGATTTTTGCTCTTTAGGCACGAGGCCCCAAGGCACAAGGGAACTGCTTGATTCCTAAATCTGGTGACTTTAATATTAGAACATGCCTTTTATTGTGCCCCAGTGGAGACTCCTCTGCGTTCTGGATAAGGACGGTTAAGGATACCCTTACAGACAGATGGTACGTACTCAAAATTCTTTATTTCTGCCATGAAGTAAAACTTACAGGGACTCAGACTCTTCAGAAGTGGTGGAACGTGGAAAAGGCTCTGTTGAGACAGATGTGAAAGGCTGCCCTTTACCGATCACCTCCAGTCCATCCAGATCCTGGACATACAGAAAAATGACCAACTCACAATTTCTCTTTTTATATAGAAAAGAAGTTAAAATATCAGACAAATGTACCCACTGAGTCAAGTAAAGTGAAGTTGAGATATCTTGCTCCTACGACGGTTTTTAGAGGTATCCAATGAATGTTTAAGAGACACAGGAAGGAACCAACTCTGGGTCTCCCAAGAATCAACCCTAGATGACTGCATTCCCCACTACCAATGATGCATGGATGGGAAAAGTCTCCTTCACACACGTTTCTCATGCCCAGAGCCAGGTTTCAGAAAGAAAAAGGTGAGGTTTGTTCAGTTTTTAAGAGGGGCTATCTGCCTTCAGGAGAAGATTTTGGATGCGTGTCTTCCACGTGGATAGAAGTGTCTTCCTTCTGCCCTGAGGCAGAATCAAGTATCAAAGTCCCACACCAGCATTTGGCAGGTTTTTTTGTTGCCTAGGTCTTGGGAGCTGCATGCTGCTGGTTTGGGGTCCTATTCTGAGGCTCCTAGACCACTCCATGCAACACTTCGGGAGGCTAGACAACTCTTTCATGGGTGTGGCCCTTTGGAAATGTGGGAACTTCCAAGATAAGTACTGTGGGGCTAAGTTTGAGGTTCCTAATGCTTTTTCGGATCCAGTTCTTGGCAATTTTATGTTACTCTACAGCATCTGACAAGAGATGAGTTTTGGGGAGAAGAGTGTTGCTGCGCTGTTGTGGGGAGAAGACTTGCTGGTCTGTTTTGATCATAGAATCATAGAATAGAATCTTTCTTAAGCTCTGGACCCCTCAGCACGGGAAAGACACAGACCTGTTGGAGTGGGTCCAGAGGAGGGCCACAAAAATGATCAGGGGGATGGAACACCTCTGCTATGGAGAAAGGCTGAGAGAGTTGGGGTTGTTCAGCCTGGAGAAGAGAAGGCTCTGGGGAGACCTTATTGCAGCCTGTCAGTGCTTAAAGGGGGCTTATAAAAAAGATGGCGGCAAACTTTTTAGCAGGGCCTGTTGCGACAGGACAAGGGGGAACGGCTTTAAACTAAAGAGGGGTAGATTTAGACTAGATATAAGGAAGAAATTTTTTACGCTGAGGGTGGTGAAACACTGGCCCAGGTTGCCCAGAGAGGTGGTGGATGCCCCATCCCTG